CAATATTTGAACAGGACACCTTTTGGATCCTTAGTCCCTGAATTCTCTGTATTTCACTGCTGCATTTCTCACGGACCTCTAAGTGAAGTTGCAGCAAGTTCACTGGGGTTTAATCCCAGTTTCCCATTAAAGGCAACACCTCTTACAAACACTAAATATCACAATTCCACTGAGTCTGCAACTGTAACATTCTCAGCTCCTCTAGCCTCCTGTCAGCCATTCTGCTGGACATCATTTCCCTTTGGTCCTTGCGTCTGAACCCCTCTTGCCAGCTTTCCCTATCGACTTATCCCCTCGGCACAGGGATTTTGTTTTGGAGGATCACGTTCAGCCTGTGCCCTGTCCAGCGTTGAGTGTAACAGATAAGACACCTTGTCGTCAGTACACAGCGAACTGGAAGCAGCCTGGACCAGGAATCCAGATTTCCTTTCAGCACAGAGAGGCAGTGTGGTTTAATGGACAGGACTGATGGGGAGCCAGGAGACCTGGGTTCTAGTCCTGACAATGACGTCCTAGGTGACCTTGCGCAGGTCACTTTCCTTCTCTATGCCTGTTTTCCCCTCACCTTCTGTCTGCTTACACAGTAAGCATTTTGGGGTAGGGACGGTCTTACTCTGTGCATGTACAGCACCTGGCACAAATGGGGCAGTCTGACTGCCTGGCAAACAAAACAATGATGGCCTTTTAAAGTGGCACTATAGAACTGATGGGGGTGTTAGGTCCAGGCAGAGACACCAATACAATATCTTGCTATTCCAAACTCCTCCGTAAGCAGGACGGCCTTCTAGGGCCTAAACTCAAGACCAGACGTTTTCATGACTACATTTAAACCCAAGCAGCTTCACAGGAAGAGGATCCCTTCCCAAAGTGACCCAATACGGCAACCGAGCAAGCTGCACGGGGAACAGCTAGTTACTCTCCCATGGCAGAAGAGCAGTGTTGTGTCTATGAGTTGTGTCCTTTCCTCTTCACCCTTGAGTGAATGTTGCCCTGCTCCCGAGAAGGCGTTGAAAGGTGGGGCAAAGGGACACATCTCCCTCTTTAATTCAGAATGTCACGACAGGAGCTGAAGACCAGATCAAATGGCCAGCGTGTTGCTGGGGGGGAGGGAAGATACTATTTAGGCTCTACGTGACCCCTTGCCCCACCCCCACTGGGAATGCCAAGGGGTCAGAGGGTGGGAGAGGACTGGAGAATCCATGGTTAGGCGGAAAGGGGAATGCGACTGAGGGGGAGCCCCTGGATACAGCATCACCTGCCCGCAGGCCCACTGGGACTTACCTGTAGGAGCTGGATCCTAGCTTGTCAGCAGTCAATCCCAACGATTCCCGTGTTCCAGTGCTCTTGGGGAGGAACTTTGCAGGCTCTGGCGAGGAGATGGGTAAGCAAGGCTCCAGAAGGAAGCTGTGCTGCTGGAGGAAATCAGCAGAGATAGCTGGGAGGGGCTGGACATCTACATGAGCACATCAGTTCTCTGTGGACCTCAGGACATATACAAGGTTCAAGGAGTAAAACCCCTGGACGAAGCATAGAAGGGCAACTCCTTCCCTTCCTCAAACCAACCACTCGGTATCTAGGAAGCTCAAAAGCTTCCCCAAGACTCTTTATTTGATCTGGCTTTAGGCAGAGATCACACCCACCAGCATTGATCCATGGGACAAAGCTACTAATTTCAACAACTACATAACAAGTGGAGCGGTGCAGGTCAGTTCAAAAGTCACCAGCATGATTTGATCCTTTGACTCTATCCTGGGGTTCACAAAAGAACCCAATGGCAATCATGAGATTCTTACACTGCCAACGCCTGGCCGCAGTGATCTCCCAAAGCTCTCCTTTGAGTCAGCTGTTTACAAGATAACAGCTTGGATCAGTTGGCATCCTCCACCTTCTCTCCCTAACTCCTGGAAAGTGTGCACATTTAATGAGACGTGGACATTTACTGCTGCCTTTACCAAACTTTTTTTTAAATCTAGCAACAGATACCTACAGCTGAAGTAACAAAACTCTTTCTCCAGGGCAAAGAATAGAGTCTTCTGAACCGAGCCCAACCTTGTGGCAAGATTGTATAGTACAACCTTGCACCTTGAGGGGTGGAGAAGGAATTCAGGAGTGAAAGCCAGCTTGGTGTCTCCGCAGTTAGCACGTGGCGCCTGGCTACACTGATAATGCACTCCTCAAGTTAACACAGGCAACACCTTGTCCTATTACTGCCTCACCTATGTACAGTGGATGGCTTCACAGAAAGGTGGGAAGCAGTGACCTTGTCCTCTAACTGGGGTTCCATGGGGATCCCATTCACTGAATGTACAAAGTGAGGTGATGAGACCACTCAGATTTCCAGAGACCCTTTTCGCTTGCTGTTTCAGCAGAGTGATGGAATTTCCCCGTCCATTAAGAATAAAAATACAATATCAGGAAAGTCACGCTCCATGGTAAATTGCAGGAGCGTGCACCAAGGCCCATTTTTAGCTTTCCAGTAAAGGCTATGTGAGTGTGACAATGGAAACTTTCCTGAACGCAGCAGACTAAGTGTTTTCATAGGCCCACGCTGGGGGAAGTCTGAATGGAACAGCTCCCAGACAGCTGTTAAGAAAATACTCACCGAAGGAGTGGAGAAGGGAAGTGAAGCAACGCTAAACCTCTTCCAGGCAGCTATTCTGCAATTTATGGAATTAACCCTTCCAGCAGGCAAACCAGTACAATTACCAAAAGATGCTGCTCCTCCACTGTGCTGAAGGCTTGCAAAGCAATTTAGACCTGCTGCTTATTTGCCATTTTCAGAAACGCACACTGATGTGGCCTGCTAACAGTTTAACCATACCAAGAGCCACTGTGCTCTTGACTGAAGTTGCATTAACAACATGAAAGTGACTTATTGGTTGTGTGAAAAATGCCTGCAAGGAGTAGAAATGGCAAAGGGGAGCAGAAGCGATAGGATTCTGGGCACTACTCACCATGCTGATTTACCCTGGATGTTTTTGTGACGATGCAGGATCCATGGGATTCCCAGCATGCACTGCACTACTGGAGAGGAGGATGCTTATGTCCTAAGTGATGTTCGGAGCATAAAGTAGTTTGGAGTGCTGCTAGGGAAAGGCCCCATCATTTAGTGTACATCCAGAGGGCAACTCTGTCTCCAAAACATTGCAGTCTGAAATATCCTAAGTGACAGGAGCCAGTCATTCCAGCCAAGGTAAAGCGAATGCCAGAGAGGTGGGAAATTTGTAACTACACACTGATGGCTTAATTTGCTGCAGTGAGAAAGATGAACCAAAGTATGCTAAAAATCTACTTGAATAGAATATTGGTTCTCTCCCCCTTTAACAAACATATGGTATTTAGATCTATCATTACAAAAGTTACGTGTCATTATCCCTATTTTAGAGGCTGGGAAACTGAGTCACAGAGCTAATGAGCTTCCTCCGTGATGACTGTTTCGTTTCAGAGCTGGGAACAGAACCCAGACCTCATGGCTCACAGTCCAGCATGTTATTGACAGCAGCAAGCTGGTTCCACGCAAGATAGCTGTTGATTGGGTTCCGTTTTTTTCCCAACGCCTGGATTCATGTGAGCCATCCATGATCTTCACTTCAAATCAGTGCTGTGTGGAACAAAGGTAACAGAATAAATCATCCTGTTGGAAATGCATTTGGCATAGGGTGACCTTTTCTAAAACCTGGATAAAAATTGCACCTCTGCCTTCTTAGCACCACAAAGTGGCTAATTCAAGTTGCTTATGCTTTGAAAAGAAGTTTAATTCTAATGCAGATGTAACTTTATTTTATTTTTTTAATTATTAAGAGACCAAGCAAATGTGTGATTTGTACTGCCAGGCTGGTGAGGACAAGTACAGGTTCTCCATAGTGCCAAGTTTAATCTTATTTTTTAGTTAGCTGATGGATGTCTGGTTATGACACTGCAGCTCGAGGTAATTTCTGCTGAGAACCCAGTCTCTAACCCAGAACAATCAGCATCATAGTGCTCTGTGCTTTTACCTACTTGGTTATGAGCTAAACTGTGGTATCTCTCCAATTCCAGCTCCCAGACAGGAAGGAAAGTGGGCCGTGCTTGAAGATTCTTGCGTTTTCACAGATCATGCTTATGTTTAACATGCTCCATACCCAGAGCAGCCAAAAATCCATTTGCTGCAGCCTTCAGGCGTATGTAGCTCCCCTAGGGACCAATCTCGGCACAAAGAACTGTTGCTAAAAGTTGAGTGAGGTCATATGTCTGGCAAATCTAATGGCAACAAATTAAACTGCTTTTTTAAGAACTTGGCTTAGGGTTTGCCTTGGAGATCCAAACCAAAATCCTTAACCCCTGGTTGTCCTCCTAGGAGTCACCCAGAGCAAAATCAGCAAAGCTGAACCCTTTTGAGACTGTATTGATGTACATTTTGGAATAAAATTACAACCCGTCCCCCACCACTCATCTATTCAATTGCTTCCTGAAGTAGCAGTTTTGCAAAATGGTCATTGCAGATTGTCCAGTGCCATGAAAATGCGAAACTTAAAAATGAGAGGAGATTTAAATCGCTGGCGGGGGGCAGTGGGGGGAGTATTTTGTTCTAGGTTCTGTTAAGATACTTTATCAGTCTTTCTGAGATCACAGAAACCTGGAGCTACATTGGTAATGTGAAGTGTGGAATTTCCAAAACCGCCTAAGTGAATTAAGAGGGCAATTCTCATTGAAGATTCATGGCATTTGTGTTCCTAACTTGAGAATGCAATCTCTAATGCTCAGGAGAATAATTAGAAATGTGTTGATCAAGAGCATTTTTGGTTGAAAGTTGTATAGAAAGAAGCAGCCTCAGAATATGATATGTCTACATGACTATTATCCATTTAATCCAATTATAATAGAAGTTGTGTATGCATATATATATATATATATATATGTGTGTGTGTGTGTGTATATATATATATATACACACACACACACGAGCATCTTTGAAATTAGTTCACATTAAAAACTAAAAGGAAAAGGGTCTACATCAAATGTTATACCCAAATTGCTTTTATTGAAAGCTTCCATAAAAAATACTATACAAAATGCTTACATCTCCAAGACATTAATATATTTACACTATTAAGAGCAATACAAAGCTATATTTTATAAAGTTTTAGGGGGAAAGCACTTAAGAGAATCAAGAAAATGGAGAAAATTGAAATTTAATTTAACTAAAGAGCATTCCAACACATTTGGATTCAATTGATAAGATCCAATTACAAGTTCTCATTCCATGAAACCACTTTTTATTGTAATAATTTCTGCCAATCAAATTAGATCAGTTTAGGGATAGCCCTCCTCCTTTAAAAGCAGATTTTCCTCCCCCCCATCAGTGAAAATGAGGTAATGACTTCACAACAGAAGGCCACTGAAAGCTTCTAGAAAGAGCATTAAAAAAAATTGGTTGTTAGGGGAAAAAATATCATTGAATCGATTCCAGTAGATGAATCTAAGTGAAAATAACGATTTTTCAGATTCACAGCTTGGAAATGGAGAAAATAAGCATTCTTAGTCTGTGGTTACACAGAAAGAGATTCAAATTAATCAACCAAAGATGCTTAGAAACAAAACAAAGCCACTGGCTGCTTGCAAACCAAAAGGAGTGAAATCTATTATGGTAGCTCCAGCGAGAAGAAGTTGGAGATGTGGGAAGCACCTGCATAGGAGGAGATAAGGAACTTTCTGGTGCTGGGAGAGACAATGAAAAGAGTTTTATCCTGATGGAAATAAACAGCTCTCAGTCGGATTTACAAGGTTTCTGTAGAATTCAGGGGGACACAGCCTTCTGCAGAAACAGGTGCAAGAAAAGGGCTGGTTTTGCATAGCCCTGTGTGAAAACAGATATGCCAGCCAGGCCTCAGGCAAACTTCCATAATGCCCAGAGCACATCTGGAGATGGCAGGATTTGGAAGCTATGTGGGAGAGGAATGAGGCTGGGAATCAGTGCAACTGAAAGGGTCAGAAATGCAGCAGCTAGGAGGAGTCCAGCAACCAGGTGAGGCTGGGGCTCCTGCAGCTGATTTCTCAAGGTGGGTAGGTAGTAGTGACTACAACAAGCACTTATGGGAGGGTGGGGGGAAGGGAGAGCTCATGGGTGAATGCTGGGAGGAGTATTAGCAAAGCAGGGGGCCCAGAAGTGTAGGCTCCTGTGCAGTCACATACTGGACACATACATAGAGTCCTGACCGTACAGTCTATGGGGGGAAGATATCAAAATGAACTGAAGTGGCATTCCAGCTATAAAATATCAAGATAAAATTGATTTGGGACACTCAGAAAGAGAAAGCAAGTAAAAGGCTGCGCTAACAGTTCTGCTATTTATCCTCCTCCCCACAACTCTCTTAAAAAAATGAATCAAGATATATTAAAGAGAATGTTGCTTAGGACCATATTGTATCTCTTCCTAGCTGGTGCCTCTCATCTCGCCTTAGGCCCTGCTATTTTCACCCTCTACACACTGCATAAGAGATGAGTAGATCCCACACACTACAATATCCTTTGTGCAAAGGACGTTCAGATTCGCTCTTCATCAAATTCTCTAGGAGCCATTTGGGACTTGGTGATGCAGAACCTTCTAGAAGCATGAGTCACGTTCCCTGACGCTTGCTACAGTTTTAGAATAGAGGTGCACGTCCACAGTTTGGGCATTCTTTGCCTGGGAGCAAACACCCCAGCATGCACGCAGACACCTCAACAATAGATCAGCAAATCTGGCACAGCACTTCCCAGTTGCTTCACATTCCCCAAATGCTCAGATTAACTAGTTTAACTCAGCAGCAGCTCTGAGAAGTTCAGATCTTCCCCTCCCCTACACTCCACATACAATACTTGTGCCCTCAACAGTGCCAGCACAAGGCATAAGCGGACTTCGGGCTTGTACACATTAGCGCTTACTTCAGTATAACTTACGTCGCTCAGGAGTGTGAATAAGCCACACCCGAGTGACCTAAGCTACTGCCACTCGGGGAGGTGGAGTAATGATGCCGACAGGATGCCGATGAGCTCTCTCCCGTCGGCATACAGCATCTGCTTTAGCAGCGTTACCGTGGCGCAGCTACCTGGGTACAGCTGTGCTGCTGTAGTGATTCTAGTATAGACCAGCGCTAAGTAATTGCTTAGGGCCCCGAGCAGCTCATAGGGGCCCCCATTCGCATTTTATTATGTATTGTGAAGGCAAAAAAATATTCCTGCTTAGGGCCCCCCTTGGGCTAGCACTGCCTCTGTTCAACGGGGAGTTAACTCAAAGGATCACCAATTGTTAGCTGTGTTTAGTGAAATAAGAGAATTTTATTCTTACAGTAACAAAAATGTGTATTTACAGATGCCATTGGCTGTACATTTTATTTTAATAAAATAAGTGATTCCATCTGTTAAAAATGATTCACCCAAAGTATTAGAAACACACAAACAAAACCCCAAGCCTCCAGACAACTCTGGCTTTATCAGCCCCTCGTGGAATCAATTCCCTTTACTGTGCATGAGCTTCTGCTGATTCTCAAGACACTCCTTCAGCTTGTCTTCAGTCAGTGTCAGTCTTTGCTCCAGAATGGAAACAGTCTGCAAAGGGAAATAATAAAATAAAGAGTGCTGCTGAGTGATATATGAAGATAAGCCACATGCTGTACGCTTACTGCTTAGCACAGATGCTAAATATACTGTACCACAAGCTATTCCAGGTCTATACTCCACAATCACAATTTCCAAAGAGGCTTCAAGCTCAGCAGCTTCTATTGAGGATAATAGGAGCTGCCAAGCTCAGCTGAAAATCTGGCCCTAGTTATGGATGCTGAGCACTTTCAAAGCGTGGGCCCAGATTTCCTCTTCACTCCCTCCCCCTTTTTGGTGGAGTGTTGTCTACCTTTACATATAGACAATTTCTGCTTCTAAAAGGCCAAATACCAGAGAGCTCATGTAATAGGTGTACACTTAAAACCCCTGACATACAGGTGTTTTAAGTAGTTAGTCCCTTTTTTGGCCTGTTATCTTTGATTTCATGTCTTAGTTCCAATTCTTTTCTCCTTTCCTGATTGCTGTGTCAGTTAGCTATATATAAGGCAGGGGAGTGACATCATTGTGGTTCCTCTCTGCCTCCCCACCCAAAGAGACACTGAAAAACACCTGGGAACAAGAACTAAACTGAGGGGAGAAGGCATGAACCCAGGCTGGGAGGGCATCCAGTCTGTGAGTGGAAATACCTGAAGTCTCAAGCTGCAGGCCAGTGCAGCTGCCTTTCAAGACTTTCTGTAATCTACAGTGTGACAATATTTAGGGTGAGAAATTACATTTTGTAACCTGTTTCTTTAGTGAATCAAACTTAGTTTGCGTGTTTTGTTTTATTTGCTTAGTAATCTGCTTTGTTCTGTTTGCTACCCTTTTAACCACTTAAAATCTGCCTTTTATAGTTAATAAAATTTGTTTTGTTTATTATTAAACCCAGTTTCTGTAATTTCTAACCGAGGGACAAGAAGTTGTTCATACCTTCCTCCACATTGAGGGAGGGGGAAAATTTATTAGCTTGCGTTGTATAGATTTCTCCACAGTGCAAGACAATATACCTTTGGGTCTGCACTCCAAGGGAGGTGGACACCTGAGTGCTGGGGCAAATCCCTCAGCTGAGGCTTCCCAGAGCTGACCTCAGTGTATGTCGTTTTGCAGTTGGGTGTGGCCCTGCCTGTGTGTGTGTGCTAGAGAAGGCTTAATAGCCTAACTCAGCAAGACAGGGTAAAGGGAGCCCAGGCGGGTGGAACAGGTGGGCTCAGTGGTATTCCAGCACATCAGGTGGCATCTTAAAGGGGGGCAACCCGTCACATGCTTATCTTAACATTGTATTTGTGCCCTCTACAGAAGCTGATTTAATGCCTTATAAATACGATCACCACTAGCTCTATCTCATAGCTCTAAAATCTAGATACAGACATGCAAAGTATGCAGAAAGCAAATTTTAAATTACATAGAGATAAAATTTTCTGCTGGAAGTCATTTATTGATTATTTTGAAGGTAATCAAAGATAGTCAGCAATGTAAAAGTGCATTTCAAGGACACTGAAGCAGTTGGTAATGTTGAAATATTAGATATAGAAAGCATTAACAATTAGAAGCCCTTGTTGCACCTTAGAGACTAACAAATTTATCTGGGCATAAGCTTTCATGGGCTAAATCCCACTTCATCACATAACCACCACCCTATAGTGGAAATCTACTGACCGCTATACTTACCTACATGCCTCCAGCTTTCATCCAGACCACATCACACAATCCATTGTCCACAGCCAAGCTCTAAGCTACAACCGCATTTGCTCCAGTCCCTCAGACAGAGACAAAACACCTACAGGATCTCTATCAAGCATTCTTAAAACTACAGTACCCACCTGGTGAAGTGAAGAAACAGACTGACAGAGCCAGAAGCGTACTGAGAAGTCACCTATATAAGACAGGCCCAACAAGAAAAGTAAGAGAACGCCACTAGCCGTCACCTACAGCCCCCAACTAAAACCTCTCCAGCGCAACATCAAGGACCTACAATCTATCCTGAAGAATGATCCCTCACTCTCACAGACCGTGGGAGACAGGCCAGTCCTCGCTTACAGACAGCCCACCAACCTGAAACAAACACTCACCAGCAACTACACACCACACAACAAAAAACACCAGCCCAGGAACCAAACCCTGCAACAAACCCCGGAGCCAACTCTGTCCGCATATCTATTCAAGGGACACCATCACAGGACCTAACCACATCAGCCACACCATCAGGGGCTCGTTCACCTGCACATCTACCGATGTGATATATGCCATCATGTGCCAGCAATGCCCCTCTGCCATGTACATTGGCCAAACCGGACAGTCTCTTCGCAAAAGAATAAATGGACACAAATCTGACAGCAGGAATCATAACATTCAAAAACCAGTAGGAGAACACTTCAAACTCCCTGGTCACTCAATAACCAACTTAAAAGTGACAATTCTTCAACAAAAAAAACTTCAAAAACAGACTCCAATGAGAAACTGCAGAACTGGAATTAATTTGCAAACTGGACACCATCAAATTAGGCCTGAATAAAGACTGGGAGTGAATGGGTCATCACAAAAACTAATTTCCCCATACTAATTTCCCCCTGCTGTTTCTCACACCTTCTTGTCAACTGTTTGAAATGGGCCACCCTCATTACCACTACAAAAGTGATTTTTCCTCCCTTGGTATTCTACTGTTAATTGAATTGTCTCGTTAGCACTGACCCCCACTTGGTAAGGCAACTCCCATTTTATCATGCACTGTGTATATATACCCCCCTGTATTTTCCACTCTATGCATCTCATGAAGTGGGTTTTAGCCCACAAAAGCTTATGCCCAAATAAATTTGTTAGTCTCTAAGGTGCCACAAGGGCTCCTTATTGTTTTTGCTGATACAGACTAACATGGCTACCACGCTGAAATAGAAAGCATTAAATAAAATTAATCGACATTTAATCACTAAAACAAATTCACATATTTTACTAGGGCTGTCAATTAATCGCAGTTAACTCACATGATTAACTCAAAAAAATTAATCACGATTAATCGCAGCTTTAATCACACTGTTAAACAATAGAATACCAATTGAAATTTATTAAATATTGTGGATGTTTTTCTACATTTTCACATATATTGTATTCTGTGTTGTGATTGAAATCAAACTCGATATTTATTACAAATATTTGCACCGTAAAAATGAAAAACAAAAGAAATAGTATTTTTCAATTCACCTCATACAAGTACTGTAGTGCAATCTCTTTATTGTGAAAGTGCAATTTACAAATGTAGATTTTTTTTCTTACATAACTGCACTCAAAAACAAAACAATGTAAAACTTCAGAGCCTACAAGTCTACTCAGTCCTACTTCTTGTTCAGCCAATTGCTAAGACAAACAAGTTTGTTTGCATTTACAGGAGATAATGCTGCCCGCTTCTTGGTCACAATGTCACCTGAAAGTGGGAACAGGCATTTGCATGGCACTTTTGCAGCCGGCATTGCAAGGTATTTACGTGCCAGATATGCTAAAGATTCGTATGCCCCTTCATAATTTGGCCACCACTCCGAGGACATGCTTCCATGCGGATGACGTTCAATAAAAAAATGTGTTAATTAAATATTTGACTGAACTCCTTGGGGGAGAACTGTATGTCCCCTGCTCTGTTTTATCCGCATTCTGACATATATTTCATGTTATAGCAGTCTCGGATGATGACCCAGCATATGTTCATTTTAAGGACACTTTCACAGCAGATTTCACAAAATGCAAAGAAGGTACCCATGAGAGATTTCTAAAGATAGCTACAACACTTGACCCAAGGTTTAAGAATCTGAAGTGCCTTCCAAAACCTGAGAGGAACGAGGTCTGGAATAAGTTTTCAGAAATCTTAAAAGAGCAATACTACAATGTGGAATCTACAGAACCCGAATCACCAAAAAAGAAAATCAACCTTCTGCTGGTGGCATCTGACTCAGATAATGAAAATGAGCATGTGTCGGTCTGCACTGCTTTGGATGGTTATTGGGCAGAACTCGTCATCAGCATGGACCCATGTCCCCTGGAATGGTGGCTGAAGCATGAAGGGACATATGAATCTTTAGCGCATCTGGCACGTAAATATCTTGCGACGCTGGCTATGACAGTGCCATGCAAATGCCTGTTCTCACTTTCACGTGACATTGTAAACAAGAAGCAGGCAGCATTATGTCCTGCAAATGTAAACAGACTTGTTTGTCCGAGCGATTGGCTGAAGAAGTAGGACTGAGTGGACTTGCAGGTTCTTAAATTTACATTGTTTTATTTTTGGATTCAGGTTTTTTTGTACACAATTCTACATTTGTACATTCAACTTTCTTGATAAAGAGATTGCACTACAGTACTTGAATTAAGTGAACTGAAAAATACTTTTTCTTTTGGGTTTTTTACAGTGCAAATACTTGTAATCAAAAATAAATATAAAGTGAGCACTGTACACTTTGTATTCTGTATTGTAATTTAAATCAATATATTTGAAAATGTAGAAAACATCCAAAAATATTTAAATAAATGGTATTCTATTATTGTTTAACAGTGCGATTAATCACACAATTAATTGTGATTAATTTTTTTTAATTGCTTGACAGCCCTAATTTTTACTTTATCAGTTAAAACTTAAAATGAGAAGCTCTGTTATAAACACTGATAAAACACTCCTCACACAAATGAAACTGGTGTTTATCCAATAAACACTGGAAAAACACCAGAAATGGTTACTAGTATCCAGGGCCTCCTCTACACAGAGCAGTAATGCAGACGATCAGCAGGGTGGAGAGTGATTTCTAAAGTTAGTAATTCTATCGGCTACTGACTCCTCAAGAAACGCAGCAGCAGATCTAGACACAAGAGGAACAACACACATCCCTCTGGACAGTTGGGAAGTGGGATCAGTCTAGCCAGGTGACTTTCCTTACTTTCCTTAAGTATTTTCCTTACTACCCTCATCGTTAAGGATTTTATAATACAGAATCTGTCTTTTTTTTAATTGAGATTTGAGGAGTTTACAGCTT